GCTATTAATGCATATTCTAATTTCCAAGCTATGCAGCTAGCAACTTTTCAGTTTTTTTTTTTTTTTTGTTTTTCAAGCTGCATCGTCTCTGGTCATCCTTTCGGAAATCGTTAAAAATTCGTATGTCCCAACGATTTTCTCGGTATGATTTAGGAATTAAATGATAGGTTTTTGGTGGTATATCTGTGATCGGTGAATGAAAAACCTTGGACTACTGTTAAAATAGGTGTTTTTGCCAAAGCTAATAACAGTAGGTAACAGAATAAAAAGGTCACTGGGAAGGGTGCAGAATATAAGCATGAAGGTTGTGCAATTAGGAAAATATTCGCAGTTGGCATGATACGAATGTAACATATGAACATATTAAGTTGGGATGTATTGCTCTGAACTTAGTGTCTTGAACAGAGCCCTTTTTCAAAAATGGCTCGGAACCGGCAGGGGATCGAACCACTCCTTTTCACGTCCGGATGCAATGCGTTACCACTACACCACTGATCCTAAATTCAGCCTGGCAGCACATCTACTGCGTATCTGCCTTTCAAGACAAGTTATATCTTTATCTTTTTCTTTGTAGCGGCTTCTTGGCTGGCTTCTCGGTGGTTTTCCGTTACACTTAGCGACCTGGTATTCAATGCTTGTATGCATCCGTGTAACATCAGTAGAACAGTCTTATTAACGAAGATTTCGTGTGATTTTTCCTCAAATTTTGTTCTACTCTCGCTAATCTGTTTTAAAACAAAATTTTGCTTTTTGAAGTCACATACAGCTCGTTTCTCCGACGAAATCGGGACTTGCTAGTCATGCTCAGAACCGTTTGCTGTGAACTTTCTGTGGTTGTAGTGGCGATGAAATCACAGCCTCAGAGTAATGGATTCGTAGTTTCAGGCGTGACACAGCCTCAGAGTAATGGATTCATAGTTTTAGGCGTGATGGTGATGTTGGTACATATGTGGAGCAACGTGCTGTCGAAGCGATGTGCGCCCTGTTATGTTGTGGACCAATTTTTGAACCGATCAAAGCTATAGGCGAAAATGGTTATCTGTACGGATGGCTGGAAACTCTTTTGGATTCTACAAACTCCGTGGTACTTTTTTTACATTGCAGTGAAATTTACAACAGATTTTGTAGCGCTGCTAATTAGTCTTGTGGGAAATTTTGTCAGTTGGACGGGTGCAGGTTCAT